TATGAATCGTCATGAAAAGCAAACGTTTAAATCCAAATATTTTGTTAATTCCTAAAAGATATTTAATTAAAGTTTACTAAATAAACTGTGCCTAAAAGGTAAATCCCTGTAAGGCTCATGTTAGATTTAACCTCCTGTAGGGGAATCATACACAAGAAGCCATAACTTAAAATAATCAAATGTTATTATGAACATCCGTAAAAAAATTAATCTAAAATAATTAGGAAGCTTAAACATTGGTTGAGGAGATTTCTAAAATGACTTTTGTAAGACGAACCATATGCGGATCACAATTATGAGAAACTTACTTAAAATACGTTTTACAAGTGCTAAACCCATATTGAATCTACAGGATTCGTTTCCAAATAAAAAAAAAAAACTAATAAACTTTCAGAACGGAAATTACAATCTAATTTGTAATTCTGAATACTGTTTTAATAATTCACAGACTTAAAGGAAAATCCACCGAATCTTCTCTGAAATTAATTCTGCCATTTCAATATCACGCCGCACGCTACCACTTAATTTACATAATTTAATTTTGCCTGATTAGTAAAACTTTGTTTATAAAGTTATGTTTATGTGTGATAGTTTATGTGTGATAGGCTTGCAGATAAATAACTTCTACGGAGTTCAATATATATATACAGGGTGTCCCGTAACTCTGTAGACACGTTATTGCTTAGGTCATATTAGGGTGCTTAGGGATTATGATTTTCACAAACACATTTCACCATAGGGACATGGGTCTGTGGTGCCTAGTTTTCCGTCTGTATGTATTTATGTGTTATTAATGCTATACACATTAACTTATACTTATAATTAACAAAAACAAATTATGCAATCATCTGTTATGTTTTAAAACACCTGATTGACGTATAACAGATGATTGTAAAGATATTTAGAAAATGTAATAGGAGTATTAGCATTGTTTAAATGAAGAAAAGTGGTCATGCATTTGGAAAAGAAGACATTTCTCTGTTGTTATCAATCCATTCTTAACAATTCAGGTATCATCGAAAACTACATAAAGCTTTTTTGTCTCTTGCAATTGTTTTTAAAGTTAAAGGTTTTCGTGAAATTTGGCATCAAACTATTTTAAATGGCCGCCATTTTAAAACGGTAGATGCTTTTATAATATACTTTTAAAATAAAATGGTTCTAAATAAGATAAACATTTTTGCAAAATCTCAATGCTGTATCTCAAACTGTTTAGGAGTTATTATTATTTTTTTTAATACATAAATACAAACAGACGGAAAACTAGACACCAGAGACCCATGTTCCTACGGTGAAAAGTGTTTTTCTTGACCTAAGCAATAACGCAATACATGTATCCAGAGAGTTACGTGACAGACTGTATAAACCATCTGGAGTAGTAGGTTTTATAAGGAAAGTTATCCCTGTTTAGTATGTCTTATCTATAACTTTCAACTATATTTCAAGTGTAAGGTCCGCATTCTTTCTAAAATTCAAGTATTTCTGATGAATTAATTAAGATTAATAAAATCCTAAATGTTGATGGTAATGTATCTATTTTATTAATTCTGTAATTGAGTCTATTCATGGGTCAAATATAAAGACAGTTTTGATGCAATGTGAGTGTGTAGGGTGTAAAATAGATTCTGTAACTACATTACTGACTACGTACTGACCACGTTATTTACTATGTCGTACTTCCGGGATTTTTAGCTAGTTAAAAGCCTCGTCTGATAACCAGTTAAGGTGATTTATGCACGGAACTTTGTTAATTGTGCCTGAACATTTTTAACTCCCTATTTAAAAATACATCGAATATCGTATTCTCGGCCTCTCTTTTAGTTCTTAGAGCAAAATTCTGCCACACAGTTCAGACCGAAAGTCACGTTTGGCATCCTAAAGAAGATTTCCCTGGATTTAAACTTAAATTGGATTTTACTTACATGTACATTGTACACCGCCTATAAATGTATACTAAATAAACTTATCCAACCAAAATATCTCTGAATAAAATAATTACTAATTAATTAAAATTTTATGGTGGCTGCATAATAAGACCAATATTTGTTTTTAGTATTTCTTTTAGTTAAGTGGCTAAGTGTAAAAGAATTACCATTTCTAAAATTCAAGTTATCCGCCCCAACGTATATTCTAACAGTAATGCTTTTTCGACTCCATCTCAAAACGTTTTTTATCTTAATCCACCTTAGGTCGAATTTAATCTTTAAAAATGAAAAAAAAATTATTAAACTTGTACTTATATATGTATATATTTAAATATTTCGCTTCAAAGCAATTTTTCTGAGGTGCAATAACTAAATCAACCTTATGCCATCAAAATTAAATTCCAAATCGTCCCAAACCTAAAGAATATCTGTTTCCGAGAATGTCTTAAGTAAATTTCTCAATCACTGAGAGTATTTTAGGGCTGGAGGAGAGTGAAGAGCAAATATTTAATTAGAAGTCTCCCTTTCAGTATTAACATAATCCAGAGATTTTCTTACTCTTTCGCGAGATTTTATTCTTATAATAAGCTATGCTAATTTGGATTAAACAGCACGATACTTAACGGGACTCTAGAGCAGTCACTCTTGAGTTTATTTGTTCGTTGTTGCAGCTGTTGAAACGTATTTTTTTTTATTTAAACTTTCAAAAAATTCGAGTTTTTCTTCGATGTACTTTTCATTCACAATAAAACTAATCTAATTATTGGACCCAATAAAAAAAAAGAATCGATTTTTTTTGCAACTGTTAAAATTACGAAAAGCTCACAATATATCCGTATCCATTTAAGATAATCAAACAATATTTGGTTCTTTTTCTGTATTTTCATTTGTTTTCCAAAAGAATGTAAAACCATCCATCATAAAAAATGCATGATATTTTATGTATTTGTATACTATAAAAGACTTTAAATTGTTTAGTTTAGTTACTCTAGGTAAGTGAGTGGAGACAATATTCTTACAATAAAAACTACAATATTCTTAAAAATAAAAACTTGTCCGGATTGAGCTAATGAAAAGTCAGTAGGTTAGTTGTAATTTGAAAACTATTACCAAGAGCCCATCTATCCTTGATAATCAGAAATGGCACTGGCTTAAAAGGTATCTTATGATGTAATTCATTCAATGCTCATATTTTGCTCAAATCTACCTTAAAATTACGCAAACCATTTAACCGTTTAAATATTTAACTAACCGTTCCTCAATCATTGACTTCAACTTAAATTAATACCTGATAAAAATACTTCTCTGCTAGCTAGCAGAAAGATTGTCACTGATAACGAGAGAAAAAATTAATATTAATATTCTTACTATTGCTCAACAGGTGTTCTTTGCTTAATTAAGGCAACTTCTTAACTAGCGCTTGGATTGTTAAGTACACACGGGTGGCGCCCGGTAGTGGTAGTCCGCTCGAGCGTCGCTGATTTGTCACTTCCACTTACCACATTCCCCCTTTAGCAGTTTGTTCAGAAAGGATTTGGGCACCAAGCACCCTTGGTTGAAACACAACTTCAAACCACAATCTATCTCATTAATATGCTCATTGGTTAAAGCTATCTCATAGTGACCTAGAAATATTTTAGATCAAATAAATAAATAAACAAAGCCAGGTTAGTCCTTGTTCGTTATACTGTATTAATATTGAGAGTGCTTTGCCTGCCATTATGTCTTTTGGATTGATTTCTTTGGATAAAAAATATCTTGTTTACTCGACAACTTTTTGAAGGAACAAGTTTGTGAATCCCACGAAGCTACAGATCTAAGTGCTTATCAATCGCCATTTATTGAATCCGGCTGGAATAAAAATAGTTATTAAATTCGTTTGTATAACACCTTTTTGAGTTTTTAAGTCAACTCAGAATTATAGTCTACAGCTGATCTTTGACGAGAGTATTGTGTACATTACTAAACTGGATATGGTTTAGGTTTGGAATATGCTAGTAAAAGGTAATTTTACGTTTTAAAATAACATTGGTCGTCAACATTGGTTACTACCAATAAATTCCAGTCTTAATTAAAGAAAGCTATACCAACAAATTAGTCATATCAACGAATAAAGTATCTAATTCTGATTGTAATGTTTTTCCTAGATGAGAGATTTTGAACTGATCTCATTATAAAGCGATATAAAAAGGATCGACAACTATGATTGATTCTAAAATATTTTAACGATTAAATAGATGGATCTTTATACACTTTTGGCTACATTATCACGTCATGGATAGTAAGACCAAAAATACGTTATGTTTTACATGTTAAAATTAGTCTATGATAACATCTTGTAAAAACTACATTTTAAACCTAATTATCCTTATAAAATCAAGGTTAATACATAAACATACTAATACACAAACTAACTCATAAATAACAATTCTAACAAACAGTTCTAGTTTTGAAACTCTTAACACTGCTCAAAACTTAGTACCAATTGTGTTAATATAATTTAATTATGACAACAAGTATACTGCGTAAATGCATACAATGACAATCATCAATCAATCAAATCATCAATGACAGGGATTAAATTGTATATGAATTAAGTGAATAAACACTGAATACTCAACGAAATTAATGTTGTTAATGTTTTAGGAAAGATAGTATCCATAAAATGCACTGTCATTGATAATGGAAGTACCATAAAACATAAACAAACTAACAATAAAGGCAAATATGATGATTATGTGATAATATTTACCTCCAAACAGTGAGTTGTAGTTAAAACAATGTGACATAAAAATATCAATCTCACTATAAAGCGTACTACAAGCATTGGACGTTTACAATTGATGACTGGGTGGAAAGAAAAAACTTAAATTACATTTCAAGTGTGTAACAATCACTATTATTTATAGGTGTTTATTGAAACTTTTATATTTTCAAACCTTTAGATAAAATTTTTCTGTTACAGGTTTTGGATACATCAGGAAAACGAGCCCGATGATTCATTGAAGATTAAAACTAAAAAAAAAATAATAATCTTTTTTAAATCAAAAATAGTTTTAACATTTGGTCAGTACGATAGGTTTTAATGGGGTTCTTCTGTAGACGTACTACAGGTTAGCATTCTCCGTTTTTATATTGCTCGAATTTCCACACTAAATTATTAGATTCAAGTATATATTTCAAGAGAATGGAATAGAGGTACAACGTCAGGTTGAGGGATGCACCTATGACGATGATACCACGTGACTGCCTACACACATGGAAGTTGTCAGTGATTCTGGTAGCTACATCTCACTTGGTCACTGCTTTACCACCCGTCATCAGGATAGGTGAGTGGTAGCGTTTATCTTACATCCAATATCACCACTAACAATGCGTACAGTGATCAATCAAATCATCAATGGCAGAGATTAAATTTGATATGATCATATCACAATTATGAAATATTATAGTAAAATTTGTAAATAGTTTAAAACTAAATAAATATATTTTATTGGCCAGCTTTAACATAAAAGAGGTTTTACGTTGATAGTTTTACCAAAACCCGAAATAAGGCTTTTGGCTAAACATCCGTAGGTGATGTAATAAGTTCATGATTAGAACGCAATAATGGCTACCAAGTAACAAACGTACTTCTTAGGTGGGTTAAAACGACGTTTCTAGCCATTTAGATCCACTTTGCATCCTTTCTGAGTTTAGGCTGAAACAATAGTAATTAACCTATTGCTCTGAAAATAAAAAAGAAAATGTTTTTATTTATTTAGTAAGTAGGTAAATAAACACTTTTCAAGGGTTGATCAACTTTTTTTATTGAAAATGGTGAATGTAGTCAGAAGCCAATTCAAAATGTACATATCAATTGAAACTGTGGTTAGAATGAATTAACAGCTTTTGCCTATGTGTTAATAATTTTGATGGTTTTTAAGGCATAGCACCGTCGACATTAAATTAAAATTTTATTTCTTCTTAAGTAACTAAGAATGTATCCATAAAGACAAGTAGCCAATATTTTGTATTTCTTGCAGCTTAAGACAAAAATCTGTATATAGTTTGGCTACTTTATATGGTTTGGTTATGGTACCATCCTTTAAGTGTATTTGTTCGTTAACACACACTTAATCGATATTTTGTAGGTGCATGAATGTATTATATATATAGTATAGGAAAATCAGTGAAAAATATCAAGTATTGTGATCCATTCGTGTTTACAAAAGCTCTAATTAATGTTAGTGAATCATTTATGACTGCTGTAAAATAATATTTTTACAACCATACGTTAAAACACTACATATAATTTTAGAGTTAACCCTGCCAAGCGTATAATAATGAGCGTGTATGTAAACTGATACACATTAACGATAAAAGCGTTCACAGTGTGGAACGTCTTATCGCTCGTATATGAAGGAAATTATGAGAGGAGAAATTGTGTTTCAGACAGCAATAGGCTTCATATAAACCTCATCAGCCTAAAGCTTGAATCTACTCCTCTTGGTATACCCGTTATGTTGGTACAACCTTTTAAATGCATTACTTAATGTTGATATGTATGTATGTATTAGTTTTTATTTTTTTATTTTTTATTATTTAGATGTAATATAATACGATCTAATGGAAATAGAGGGAAATATTTAATGTGGCACTGATTTTAAAAGTGGTTTTCTAGAGTAAATAAACAGTAATTACATGCACGAGTTAAATGAGTACATTTGTCTTTATACATATAATGCGTACGTATAATGCGTAAGTATAAGTTTATTTTAAAATATAAATATACAGCAATGCCCGTTTTAAAAATTAAGTTAAGATATTATACATTATAAATAACTTTCCTTTCCCTGGAATACTCTTTGATTTTGCAGATGCAACAAATATCAATTTATTTGTAGTTCTTACTTTCTTGTCATAAATACGTTGATTTATGGTAGCTATTTATGTATTTATGTGGCATATATTTTATTAATGGTTTACGAAAATCTAGAATATTTCAATTACATGAGTATCTGAAACAAATAAATGTTACATTCGGTTGTTTAACTGCACAATCCGTCCACATGTTTTATTTCTTTATTAGGTTGGAATGTTTTAGAAACATTTCTTATACAACAAGATGTATATTATTGTCTTTGTCTATTTATTTCTTCAGCATGTGGTTGACTTGTGTGACAGTATAGCATAACTGTTAAATTAAGAGGTATGAACTGTATAGAGTATAAATTGTTATTTATTATACATTTGTTACGACATTTCACATCGCACTATTGTCAGTAATGTGATAAGCTGGGCATTAATTGGTTAATGATGGTACTAATGGCTCTCTAAATCATAACGAAGTCAAAAAATATATTACTGTAACTCCATTCTTTGAACAATGTAGTTTGTCAATATAGCTTAAACCTTACTACGACGCAGCAAATAGATAGTATGGTAGCATTGGTCGCATAGCTTTAAATTCTACCTATGGCATGGATGGATGAATGTTAATATAAAAATATTTATTGATTATGAAAAAATGCTTATATAAAGAAAAACCTATTGTGCTTGATCAAACCCCGGTTAATATTGACTGAGTTTTGGATGATTAAATGAAGTGGTTTCAAACTTTATTTTAGATTTTTCTTATATCATTTAAAAAAGAAAATATAAGACATTTTAATCGTTTAATATGTTACAAAATATAGCATAATAACTGGAATTTTACAGCTTGTGAAGTGCACAAAAGTGACTTAAAAAATATATATAGATTTGTTATCTTTAAATTTGTTTAGAATATATATATAATTTACGACTATACAAAGCCAGAATTAGACGTCAAAAGTATGCATGGTACGTTTAAATTAGCAGGTTAAATGAGCATGCTTTCGCCATGCAAGAAAGCCATCATACGTGTGCATATAATGGTAATAAACCCTACACCCCAACGTGACTTTGGTCTTTACAATTTAGCACGTTCGCCTGCCTCTTACAACCTGCCCTCTTAACAATATTATCTCTCTCTCCATTGTGTACTCACCCTTCATTCGTATTTGGTTTCAAATAACAGTTTAAGTGTGCGTCGATGTCATTCATAATTGAATTGAGTCGAAAAATTGCATTTCAAAATGCCACATAAACTGGGACGGCGGCGTCGTCCTGTAATACAGAACTAAGAACTTTGCAGCTAAGAACTTTGTAATACAGCTAATGTATTACAGGACCATGTATCAGAAGAATTTAATGTATCATAGTATGTTAATGTATCATTGGAGGTCACGAATTGTGTAGTTAGTTGTACACGAATCACGAATTATTGTACTTATAGGTATACACTATGGATGCAATGCTCCCTAGTGTGGATTAACGTCCACACTAGTGTGTATTACGACTATCCGCAGTAATATCCTGATAATTAACATCAAATTCATTAATTACAAGGAAAATGTGTTTCGGATTCCACTTTAAACTGTAGGTCTTAGTTGTCATTTGCTGTGTAGGATATTAATTAACAGCTGTGTCAAAGGAACATGTTGGCCTTAGTCACTAACTAACCTACAAGATTTCGCCACTCATCCTAAGCTCATCCTTCACTCATATTTGGTTAAACTACGCACATAATTAAATATCTTAAATAATTAAATTAATGTAACCAAAGCTAAAAAAAGTTTTCTTCCAGAAGAAGGTTTAGCATAAGAATGAAAATAAACTTATTCTACAACACATTAACTAATCTGGACAATTAACACGCCACCCGTTAAAAAAACCATAAACACATATCCATATATTTTGTTTCCATTTTCCATCATATTTATATTCAACATATTTATTTAACATGTTTGAGTAGTTTAGGTCTTCGTTATTACGAAGTGTTTGTACAATCGTGATGATTGGTTAGATTTACAAGATCCTCAAACAATAGATTCGGTTTGGTGTATATATCAAAGTAAATGGTTTGCCACAAGAGTATCTTTGGCTACCACAGGACTAGGAAGACCCACAGAGCTAGAAGCCACTTACGTGTACATGACCCCTGTTGTGGGGTCGTAACTGATACACCTACACACCTACACACATACTTTACTTTACAACTACTTACAATAACAAGTACACAGAGTGAGTCTAACAAATATGTATTTGTGATTTACTTAATTTTATGATCAAATAAAAGTAGGTAGGCATTTGTTGAGAATTAAATTAAATCCATTGCACACTTGTTAATTTGTTATTCTCCTAGTTACTTGTATTAAATCTGTTAGCTTGATCCACGCACAGTACCGTTATATCAAACGCCTGACCGAATAAACTAACCCTATTAATTGTTCCATCGAACCACCCTCCGTTCCCACTGCTACCATGATCTCCCGACACTCTCTGTACCTTTGTTCGTCGTCCTACCTAAATGGCTCCCATTGCTGGTTTTATTTAATGTAAAAAGTGTGTTTTATTTGAGTACCTGATTTTTCGTTCGCATCTAAGTCCAAAACCGACAGTATTATTGGAGCAAAGAGGAAATATCACAGTTTGTATTCAAATTTATATTTTTCGCTTTCAAACTAGTCGTTCCTAGAAGACATTTTTGTCTTAGTACAACATAAAAAGTAAGTACATTTCCACTTACTGCCTAACATTTAGTACCAAAGTTGTTTATAACCAAAAATAAAAAATTCATAATACTTTATAAATTTCTTTATTTAATAATTATGTATGTAATGGTTTGTTATGTAACAATGGTATATTCATTATCGTTAAAATTCTTTGATAACCAAAGCTTTATTTCTCGTCATTGATTTTAGTGGCGTATCAGTAGGTTCATTGAAACTCAATAAGCAACTCAATAAGCAGATAACATATTTTATAACTACCCTTAGAGTGTAGACTTGTTCATTGCAACCCAACAAAAACATTCAATGTCAGTTAATCAACGATTAAGAGTATTCTATATGTATTAAGGTTGTTCTGTTTGATATTAGCTGAGTAATTTGACTTATCACATAAGTGAGTTTCAATCAATGTTCGGCTGTGTATCGGGTACTAATGTTGAGCTGGCTTGCAGTGTGTCGTGGACATTGGAAGACCCACATTGCTATAAGCTGGTTATGTACTCGACCCCTGCGGCTAGATGCGGTGTCGACGTTACTCATACCCTCTACTAACAAATCTATCTAATAATGAAACTTAAATCCTTAGTGATTAAAGTACACAATCTCATAAGCATGGCAAAATATTTTATTTTATATTTTGTAAACACATCTCAAAATCCATTATATAAAACTATGTTGTATTTATTTTTACCTAGTTTAAATGAGCTCCGGATGGGTGATTATTTCAATAATTTGAATTTTATCCATCACAGCCC